CCACCGTAACCATTTTTATTTATTTTTTAAATGTTTATTTATTTTGAGAGAGAGAGAGAGAGAGCGAGCAGGGGAGGGGCAGAGAGCAAGGGAGAGAATCCCAAGCGGGATCCTCACTGTCAGCACAGAGCCCGACGCGGGGCTAGATCTCAGGAACCATGACATCATGACCTGAGCTGAAATCAAGAGTCATAAGCTTAAACAAACTGAGCCACCCACCTAACCATTTTTATACAGTTCAATACTGTTAAGTACATTCGCATTGTCATACAGTCGAGCTCCAGAACATTTTTCCTTGTGCAAAACTGAAACCTTGTACTCATTAAGCAACTCTCCGTTCTCTCCTCCCCTCAGGGCCTGGAAACCACCATTCTATTTTCTATCTCTATAAATTTGGCCATTTAGATGCCTTGTGTAAATGGATTGTACACTATTTGTCTTTTTGCAACTGGCTTATTTCACTTAGCATAATTGCAGCATGTTAGAATTTCATTCCTTTTGGAGGATGAGTAGTATCTCCATTTTATATGTATTCTACATCCTGCTTATCCATTCATCTGTCAAGGGATATTTGAGTTGCTTACCTGTTTTGGCTATTGGGAATAACACTGCTATGACTATGGGGTCTCTTCAAGACCCTGCTTTCAATTATTTTGGGCATATACTCAGAAGTGGAGTTGCTGGATCACAGGGCATATTGGTGTTTAAGTCTTTGAGAAATTGCCATACCATTTTCCACAGCAACTGCACCATGTTACATTCCCACCAACAGTGCACAGGGTTCCAAGTCTGCCACATCTTTGCTAGCACTTGTTATTTTCTGGAATTGTTTTATTGATGGTGGTATCATAATGGGTGTGATATGGTATCTTGTTGTGGTTTTGAGTTGTATTTCCCTAATGATTAGTGATGTTGAACATTTCTTCATGTATTTTATTAGTCATTTGTATATTTCCTTTGGAAAAATGTCTGTTCAAGTCCCTTGCCCAATTTTTAAATTGTGTTATATTTCTTTTTTGTTGAGTTATAGAAGTTCTGGATATTATTATTTTTTTATATTAAATATAATTTATTGTCAAATTGGTTTCCATACAACACCCAGTGCTCATCCCAACAGGTGCCCTCCTCAATGCCCATCACCCACTTTCCCCGCCCCCCACCCACCCTCCATCAACCCTCAGTTTGTTCTCAGTATTTAAGAGCCTCTTATGGTTTGCCTTCCTCCTTCTCTATAACTTTTTTTCCTCCCCTTTCCCGTCCCCCATGGTCTTCTGTTAAGTTTCTCAGGATCCACATATGAGTGAAAACATATGGTATCTGTCTTTCTCTGCCTGACTTATTTCATATTTCACTTAGCATAATACCCTCCAGTTCCATCCACGTTGCTGCAATTGGCAGATTTCATTTTTTCTCATTGTCAAGTAGTATTCCATTGTATATATAAACCACATCTTCTTTATCCATTTGTCGGTTGATGAACATTTATGCTCTTTCCATAATTTGGCTATTGTTGAAAGTGCTGCCATAAACATTGGGGTACAAGTGCCCCTATGCCTCAGCACTCCTGTATCCCTTGGGTAAATTCCTAGCAGTGCTATTGCTGGGTCATAGGGTAGATCTATTTTTAATTTTTTGAGGAACCTCCACACTGTTTTCCAGAGCGGCTGCACCAGTTTGCGTTCCCACCAACAGTGCAAGAGGGTTCCCGTTTCTCTGACCCTCTCTAGCGTCTATAGTCTCCTGATTTGTTCATTTTAGCCACTCTGACTGGCGTGAGGTGGTATCTGAGTGTGGTTTTGATTTGTATTTCCCTGATGAGGAGTGACGTTGAGCATCTTTTCATGTGTCTGTTGGCCATCTGGATGTCTTCTTTAAAAAAGTGTCTATTCATGGCTTCTGCCCATTTCTCCCCTGGATTATTTGTTTTTCAGGTGTGGAGTTTCGTGAGTTCTTTATAGATTTTGGATACTAGCCCTTTATCTGATATGTCATTTGCAAATATCTTTTCCCGTTCCATCGGTTGCCCTTTAGTTTTGATTGTTTCCTTTGCAGTGCAGAAGTTTTTTTATCTTGATGGGGTCCCAATAGTTCACTTTTGCTTTTAATTCCCTTGCCTTTGGAGATGTGTCAAGTAAGAAATTGCTGCGGCTGAGGTCAAAGAGGTTTTTTCCTGCTGGATATTAACCTCTATCAGTTTATGACCCAAGAATGTCTTGTTACACATGACCTGTTTGAACCAGGATCCAGCATAGTCACATAGTATTATATATATTTTATTGTCTAATCTGGCAGAAACCCCTCTCCCTGTTGTTTTTCCCCTGTCATTGCTTGTGGCAGAATTGAGGTTCATAGTCATGTAGTCTTATAGTTTTGTATTTTAACTTTGCTGCTGCCCTCCAGAATTTTCTGCTTTTGCCTTTCATAACATTTCAGCCGTGAATTTTCTCTATTGAAAAATGAGGGATGGGATGCCTGGGTGGCTCAGTCAGTTAAGTGTCTGTCTCTGGTTCAGATCATGATCTCATGGTTTGTGAGTTCCAGCCCCGTGTTGGGCTCTTTGCTGTTCAGCACAGAGCCCACTTCAGGTCCTCTGTCTCCCTCTCTCTCTCTGTCTCTTCCTTGCTCTCTCTCTGTCTCTCTCTCAAAAATAAACATATTTATAAATAAATGTTATACATATTTATTTTTGATAGACAGAGAGACAGAGCATGAGTGGGGATGGGGCAGAGAGAGAGAGAGAGAGAGAGAGAGAGAGAGAGAGACAGAATCCAAAGCAGACTCCAGGCTCTGAGCCTGACACAGGGCTCCAACTCATGAATCTCGAGATCATGACCTAAGCTGAAGTTGGACCCTTAACTGACTGAGCCACCCAGGAGCCCCTACAAAAAATTTTTTTAAAGAAAAATGAGGATTTCTCTATCAAAGGTTCCTAGAGGACTAAGCCCAAAATGAGAAGAGGAAGCCTTCTTGGTGTCTGGGAACCCACCGGTGGGGAACTGGGCATTGGTGGAGAGAATGTGCGAGAGGTGTGAGGATCAGGTGGGAGTGAAGTGAGCACATTCAGGTCACCAGCCTGCCTGAGAGAATGCAGACTTTTCCCATGACGTGACTGGTGTTACCTCGAGACCCCTGCAACCTCATGACCAGGAGCCGATCCAAAGGCTATTCCCCAGCCATAGGTAGCACGGGGCAGATCCTAGGGGCTCTTCCAGGGCCACCCTGTGGATCTGCCCCCTGGGGGACCCTGGAGAGGAAGGTCCCGTCTCAGGGCTGCCTTGAGTACATGGGGCCTTTCTAAGAGTCCCTGAAGGCACAGGGGCAAGGCCGGGGAGCCTCCAGTATCCGGGAGGCTCAGGAACCGGGACACGGCAACAGGGAGACCATTGAGAGAAAAGCTATGGTACTGATAATGTTGGGGCACTCTAAAAGATCACTAGAGTTATCTCTTGGATTAGAATTATCAGTGATTTTTAAAAATAATATATTTTCCAGGGGCGCCTGGTTGGCTCAATCGGTTAAGTGTCTGACTTCGGCTCAGGTCGTGATCTCGCGGTTCATGAGTTTGAGCCCCGTGTCGGGCTCTGTGCTGACAGCTCAAGCCTGGAGCCTGCTTCGGATTCTGTGTCTCCCTCTCTCTCTGGCCCTCCCCTGCTTGTTCTCTTTGTCTCTAAAATAAATAAACATTAAAAAAAAAATTTTTTTTAATATATTTTCCAAACTTTCTTGAGTGAACAGTAAAAAAAGTGACATTCTATTTAAAAATAGATCAGAAACAGGGCATCTGGCCAGCTCAGTTGGTAGAGCATGCAACTCTTGATCGCGGTCAGGGTTGTAAGTTCAAGCCCCGCATTGGGTAGAGAGGTTACTTAAAAATAAAATCTTTAGGGGCGCCTGGGTGGCGCAGTCGGTTAAGCGTCCGACTTCAGCCAGGTCACGATCTCGTGGTCCGTGAGTTCGAGCCCCGCGTCGGGCTCTGGGCTGATGGCTCGGAGCCTGGAGCCTGTTTCCGATTCTGTGTCTCCCTCTCTCTCTGCCCCTCCCCCGTTCATGCTCTGTCTCTCTCTGTCCCAAAAATAAATAAACGTTGAAAAAAAAAATGAAAAAAAATAAAATAAAATCTTTAAAAAGATAATAAAAGTAAAAATAGATCAAAACCTTCAGGATTAACACAAATATGCTTAAGGACCATTATTGATAACTGAGTTCTCCAGAGATCTGTGGGCTGGAGTGGAAGTTCTCCAGACCCTCTTGGAGCCTAGAAGAGCCAGGCCAGGACCTAAAAGTGTGGCACAATCCAGGGAGAACCATGCTTGGTGAAGGCGAGCAGTGCCCTTGGTGTCTGGAACTGAGGCCACAGCCCTGGTGAGGCCTGGGACGTGTGAGCAGGGGCCCAGCCTTCGAGAAGCCCCTGCCAAACAAACCCACTGGAACCTACCCAGTGGGCCCATTTCTCTTGCCCAGGAGAGCTTTATCCCCGGTAAACTGCTTCCAATCTCCCAGACACAAGTGAAACCTGCTATTTTTCCAAAAGTAGAGAACTCTTTATTATAAACCCAGGATACAGAAGGGAAATGACAAGCACAGGCATATCTCAGCTCTCTCTGAAATTCTCACAATGCAGACAAAACAGGTACGAAAGATACTTTTTTGAAATTGTTTAAAAAATATTCCCCAACGTCCCCAAGTGGGGATAAGTGCATGGTCAGCTAGGTGCTTCATCGAGATCATGCAGGGAGGGGCCTCCAGTCCCCCCACCAAGACCCTGAGGAAAGGTACCTTGCCCCAGCCTGGCTGGGTGTGGAGCAGAAAAGACACATTTTCTATTCGATTTAGGGTCCTGGGCTTTGCCCTGGGACAGAGACCTGAGACCAAGACATTTTCTCCCCTGAGGAGAGCTCGAAGGTAACTAGCATACAGATGCCGTAGGGAGGGAAGAACACCTATGTCTGCAGCTTACTTGCTATGCAAGTTCAAGCGGCTCTCTCTCTCTCTCTCTCTCTCTCTCTCTCTCTCTCTCGTTCTGTGCTGCCCTGCAGGCACAGATGCTGGCATATTGGGTTCTTTCCAGAGTCTGGTTTCAATGAAGGGGGTAAAAAGAGAAAAGGAACACACGTGGGCCGCACCTTTGTCCAGGGCTGGGCTCCCTCGACAGTGATTCAAACACAGCTACTACCAGTTCTACCTACCCTACTTAGTTCTCAGGTGGAGAGACCGAGGCCTAAGACGTGTGGACAGGTCAGAGCTGGCTCTGCTGGAGCTCTTCTCAGTCCCAGATGGCCCTGGATTCCGCTGTCCTGGCTCGATAACCCAGCACGTGGACACGTTACTGGTCCCGTGCAGGACGTACAGCGTGTCTGTGGAGTTGGCATCTCCTGGAACTGAGAAGCAAGTGGGGCACAGGTCACCCCTACGGCAGGAGGAAGCAGGGGCAGAAGCACACACGCCCAAGGGCCCGGGGCAATCTTCAGGGCAGGGACAGGGCCTTGGCAAGGCGGGTCCAGAACCAGGACTTGGTGCAGGGGTTGGTGTAGTCGCAGACAGTGATGAACCGCAGGATGCTGGGGAACTCTTTCTTCATTGCCTTGTACTTGATGGGGATCAGTCGCTTCTGATGGGCACCTGCAAGCCAAGAGGTTCAGAGCTGGCACCAGGCCCTCCCTCCACAGCTAGTGGGATCCGTCCCCAGCCCAGGCATTAACAACAGGCCTCCCTGCAATCAAGCACCCGTGGCACCCATTCACCCACACAGAGGGCACTCATGTGCACACACGCTCAAGTGTGCAGAAACCTACAGGAGCTCCTTGGTGCTGCATCCGTGGCCCTTGATGAGGGACTGATGGCATCCTGAGGCCCTGTCTAACCCCTCCTCTGTGGCAAAGGCAGTGCTGAGCTTACCGGGAGAGAGGCTGAGAGCAAACTTGGTCTGGAAGTCACATTCCTTGCTTTGCAGGTAATCATCAGAGACCACCACCACCATCCGGCGGCACCTAGGGGACAGCGGGCAGGCTGCAGGCACTGTGCCAACCTGGTTCATCAGGGGATGGCCTCAGGAGGAGTCCACTGTGGTCAGACTAGACAGGGTCCACCTGGGAGAATCTCAGCATCTGGATCCCTTGGGCAGGCCTTTGTGTACCCACCCGCTTGACCCCACTGGCCTCTTAGCCAACCTCTTCTCAATGAGCTCACTGGCGATGGACCAGACACAGGTGCCAGGGAGGACATCGCGATCAGACACACACAACTTCAGCCGATAGTCTGTCTGTTCCAGCTGCCGGATCATCTCCTGAACAAACTGGATATCGCTGGGGCAGTAGCAGATGAAGGCATCAAAACGCTCCGGCATTTGCCCTGGGTGCAGAGCACAAGGGTGACGTTAGACCTCTGCAAAAGAGGAGCCCGCCAGGAACCCCCAGCCTAGGTGACTCGGTCCTGAACCCTACACCAATCCCAAAATGACACTAAGAGAAAGTGCTCTTCCCAGGGGAGGAAAGGTGAGTGTCTCTCCCCTCCACCTCCCACCCTGGGCCAAGCCCTGGGTTGACCATAAGACAGACACATCATTTCATGAGAGTCTCACACCAACTCAGAGGTAAGATCATTATTCCCATTTCCTAGGTGAGGATGATCTTAACACAATGTCCTATGGTCCACCTGTCACGCCTGGCCCGGCGGAGCAGTACTGGATCCTTACCCAAGGGGTCATCAAGCGTGGTGATGCCCGCCAGCTCTGATGTCCGTGGGTCACTGCTATCCACAGCAGCCACCTGTAAGGGCTTCTCAGACTCCTCCTGCTGCTGTTTCAGGATATATTTCTGGCAATCCTCCTCTGTGGGGAAGAGACAGGGTGTGGCAGGCTCCCTGGGTTTGTCCCATGCCTCTATCCACAGTCAGGACCCATCCCTGGCCCTGCTTCCTTAGCCATGTTGTGCTCCAGGGCTTTCCCAGCCCACTGGTGCCACGCACAGTTCAACAGCTCTGAAAAGTTGATCTCCCACCTGGCTCTGACCATCCCAAAGGGATGGTGTTCTGGTCGTCTGGGAAGTCATCGTGGCCAGGCTTGTGTCCTTCTGTCCCTTTGTCCTGGCCCTCCTTCCTAGGACTCCTGAACCCAAGGTCTGCTGCTTCTAGGATCCACGGCTGATGTGAGCAAGGGACGGGATATGCAAGAACGGCTCAGGAGACGCAGTGGTGGGTATATAAATGAGGCCCCAACCAGGCAAGATGCAGCCGTCTATGTTATGTGGCAGCTAGTGGCAGGAAGGGATGCATTTCCCTGGGACCCGAGGTTTCCGTGACTGTCAGCTTTCAGTCCCTCACCTGTCCTGTTGCTGTACTTGAAGTAGTCCTGACTCCCCCACAGAGGACCCCGATTCTGAGTCCTGGCCCTACAGGAAAACATTTGCCTAAGATGTTTCCCTCTGTTGTCTGCCTCTCCCACCCTTCACCTCCTTTCTCCAGTTCCTGTCATCCCAGTGTTGAAAGAGGGAACTGGTCCCACCCGGTGGTACCCCCTCTGCAAGCTGCCTCCAGCCCCCCTCCCCTGCCCCCCAGGCAGAAAAAGGGGGCCTCTCCAGGGGAGAATGGATGCCGAGGCTGGTGAAGGTCAGCTCCCTCGTCCCCCCAGGTATGAGGCCGGGAAGCGCGTGTCCTCACCGATGCTGGGCCCCAGTTCCACCAGCACGTCATCGCGGCCCAGCTTGGTGAGCAGCTCCAGCAGACGGCCCACCGAGGCTCCCGGGCGTCCCTGCCAGTCGTCCAGGAGCTTGCCCATGGGGTCGGCATGCGCCTCCAGCTGCCGGATCTCCAAGTACTCGAAGCCCATCTCCTCAGCCAGCGCCGTCCAGTCGGCCGCCACCTGCGTCCGCACGTTCAGGAACAGCGACAGGCGGCGCCGCACTCGCACGTTGAGGGCAGCTAGAGGCAGGGAGGACGCCGAGGGGATGGGGGACGCGGACCCCGCGCGGGAGCCTCCGGCGGCCATGGCGGGCTACCCCGGAGCCTCAGCGCTGTCGAGTCGCGCAGCAGGTCCGCTCTTCCTCCTTCCTTTACCGCCACCCCCGCCCCCGGCCCCGCCCCGCGGGTTTCTGTTTCCGAGAAGCGCCGCCCTGCCCTTCATTCTGGAGCCCTAGCACTTGTGTGGAGGTGGGGGTGCCCCATCTCTGCTCGCGGGGTCTCGGGCGACAGGGGACATGGGAACCGGGGGACCTGCCTTTTGAGGTGTGGAGGCCCACAGACCTGTCCTCCAGGGTCTAGGGCTGTGGCGGGAGGGCGGGGCGCCCGGGGGCGGGAGGGGGGACACGACCTTCCTTTGGGGGTTGTAGGAAATAGGGGCCTTGCCCTTTGGGATCTGATAGAATCACATCCTTTCCTTTGGGGACCTGCGGGGTTCATATGTTACTGCCCTCGAGGATGGCGGGGAGGGGGCAGAGGAGGAGCCCTTCCCCCCAACCCTGTCCCTGGATCTCCCGGGAATGCACAATCCAGGCCTTGGGATTGTGGGGGAACCTCCAGCTGTACACCCAGAGGTGAGATGGGAAAGGGTATGCTACCTTCTGGAGCCTGAGGCATGCCACGGTCCTGCCTTTGAAAGGTGGGAAACCGTCCGGGGTTGAGGATAACACCCTGGCCTTTGGTGTCTGGGACAAACGCAGGGCTATTCTTTGGGGTCTAGAGAAACACATTTACCAACGGTAGTCAAGGGGGCACCAGCCTTGCTCTCTAGGGTTATGGGGGGAGGGAAGTTGGAAAACACAGTCCTGACCTAAGGAACTTTGGTCTTTAATTCAATAGGTATTTATTGATCACCTGCTAAGTGTCAAGCATGTTGCAGGCATCCCGGATACAGGGTGCCTCCCTGCCTTGGTGCAGACCTCAGCCTAGTGCAGGAGGTGGGCATTAATTAAATAAACCCAAATTACTTTAAAATTGGTAAGATAGGTACTCTCTCTAGATTAAGAGCTGGTCACATCTCGGCCACTTTACACAATCTGTTCTCCTGCCGCACCAGACTCCCCAGTTCCCTCAGTGTTCTCGAAAGACTTCCCAGGAGAGCCCAAGCACATCGGGGGTAGGGCTCTGGGGCGTCTCGGAATTAAGTCCCCCAGCTTCGGTACTGGGACTCAGGAGACAGTCAAGAAGACCAGGAAGGGGAAAGAATTGAGTCCCCGCCTCCTCCTTCCCAAACCGGATGCCGTAGGCGGGGCCTTTGGTGGTCCAGTCCTCGGTTTGGTGGCAGGCAGTGGGCAGAGTTTTAGGGGAAGCGAGCCCCGGCAGTGGCGGAGCTTGTTTCAAGGTACCGAACGGGCTCCGGGAGTCTCTCCTCGGGTTTGGCAGTAGGCGGTGCTGCGAGTAGAAAGGTTTCCGGCCCGCAATTCTGGGCGGGGCTTTGAGTAGAAAGACTCTCGGCGTAAACCAAGAGCTCCGCTTTAGCTGCTTTGGTTGGAAGCGGGGGCGGAACCTCAGGCACGAAGCCCTCTGGTTGGCTGAGACCAGCGATAGGCGGGGCCTTGGGGGGCGGGGCTGTGGGCCGTGTTAAGATGCCGGGGTAGAGTGCGGCTCTGCGCTTGCGCCGCGGGCGGGCTGTTAGCTCCTGCGCTGTACCCGCAGGTTGGAGGTCTACCCCGCAGAGTTGTGCGATGCGTAGGTTGCAGGTAGTGCTCGGGCACCTGACGGGCAGGCCCGGTTCGGGTTGGGAGCCGGCGCCGCAGGCCGCGCCGTGCTGGAGCGGCGCTCAGCCGGTGTCGGCCGACGACGTGGTGGTAGTGCACGGGCGGCGCACCGCCATTGGCCGAGGGGGCCGCGGCGGCTTCAAGGTGAGGCCCCTGGGCCGGGCGCCGGGTGGGAGACCGCGGGCCAGAGCGGTCTGGGGTCTGGCGCGGGGGTGGCTCTGCGCCCGAGCTGTGACCGCTGTGTGTCTCGGGTGGGATGGGGGAGCGGGGGTCCCGGGAACCCCGTGCATCGCCGGCGGGAGACCAACGGTGGCCGCGCTTCCCGCTGCAGGACACCACCCCCGACGAGCTTCTCTCTGCCGTCATGACCGCGGTTCTGCGAGACGTCAAGCTGAGCCCTGCCCAGCTGGGGGACATCTGCGTGGGTGAGCACACTGCCCAGGCCCTGGGCTCGGTCCTCCTCGCCCTCCCATCCGGCCAAAGCCCTTCTCAAACACCTCCTCACCCTCCAGGCACTTTCCAGGTGCTTTCACTGAGAGAAATGACCAGGGGCTCCTTGCATTCGAATTTAATTGTTCCTTTAGGGCTACCGCCTCCAGGCACGTTCCGCCCCACCCCTACCCCAAGCAAGTTCTGCCTGTGGAGTTTGTTGGAAAGCAGCGGTCTCAATGACATTCTAACACCCAAGCACTTGTCACAGGGATTTGCGGACACCGGACACCATAGGAGACCAAAGGCTAGGGTTCACTACCCATCCTGTCTGTGCCACCACAGAACACAGGGACCATCAAATACCACGTAGTTCAAACCCTCACAGATGGAGAAACAAAGTCCTGGGAAGTTTTCAGCAGAGATTGCACCCGAATCCAGGGTCTCTTGACTTTCCGACCCTTTCCCTCCACCCCTACTCCTCTAGCCTGGAAACAACAGAACTCGGCCAGGCTCCCATCAAGTAGGTGCCACCCCCGAGTGGGGAATCACTGATCCACCTCTGAAATGCCTGCAGGGCTTGGCTGAGGACACTCAGGGAGGTGGGCATTTTCAGAAATTTATTTTCCTAACTGACAAGACCAGTTCGTTTGCCCGCAAGTTTTGCCTTGCAATCTTCGCCTTGCAATCTTCTTTCCATGTTTCCTTTAAAGGCAGGCAACCAGCCCGCTGTGCATTGATTTGGAAAAGCAGGGTGCGTGGGCAAGGGACCTTGCGACTCTCGGAGATGGGGTTTAATTGTATGGTCAGAGCAAGCTGCTATATGACTGGCTCCTTGAAATTCTAGGGCCTCAAGGGAACTGCTGAGGGCTTGTGTTGCTAAAGAAAGATCTGGAATGTCCCCTTTCTAGTAGTCACAACTGTACCTTCCTGTCTAGAACACTATCTGAATAAAGGCTTGTTGTCCACAGGAAATGTGCTTCAGCCGGGGGCCGGAGCAATCATGGCCCGAATTGCCCAGTTTCTGAGGTAAACTTTTCTAGTTCTAGCTGTGGGTTATTTTGACTCTTGAGTAGGCTCGGACCCCAGGGGACTCAGCCTATGAGTGGAAGAGGGTCAGGTTGGACACCAGGCCTGGATGCAATCTGAGTCCTTGGCACCCTGTTCTTGTGGACACTACCTTTCCCCTACTTTGGCATTTTTTTTTTTAAAGTGATGTCTACACTCAATGTGGGGCTCAAACTTACTACCCCAAGACCAAGAGTTGCATGTTCTACCTACTGAGCCAGCTAGGTGCCCCTCCCTTACTTTGAGTGAAGGGTACATTACTGGCTCTGAGCCAGGACAAACAGGGCCTTGGGGAATAGAGAAAAAGTTATCTGTGCCGTGATGATCTAGACGAAGTTAGCTTGTTGTTCTGCCTTTTTTAAGTGTGGGTTCTGTCCTGTTTTGCCAGGTAGCTAACCAGGAAGGCTACCCTTCAGCACACTGAAAAGTGACTTTGAGTTTTTTAAAGCTACTTGAGCAGGCTGGGACCTCCCAGGGCACACAGCACATCAGAGACTTGGGGACATGGCAGAACCCTGGGGCATGGGGTCTTCCAGGAGGGGCCCTGGTTAAACTTGCCCTTCACCACTTGCTGTCCTAAGACGGGAGAGGAGTGCTTAAATTATTTTAATGTGTGGATTTAAGAACCACTTAATTTGGGGGCACCTGGTGGCTGAGTTAGTTAAGTGTCCAACTCTTGATTTCAGCTCAGGTCATGATCTCAGTTCATGCCCCGAATTGGGCTCCGTGCTGAGAGTCTGGAGCCTACTTGGGATTCTTTCTCTCACCCTCTCTCTCTCTGCCCCTCCCCCGCTCGCCCGCCCCATCTCAAAATTAAAAAAAAAAAAAAAAAAAAAGAACCACTTAACTTTGCACACCCAGCTACCTGGAGAAGAAATAACCCTCCCTCACATGGTGCCTTGTATGGAGTAGGTATTTAGTGAACACTCAGTGGCTGGGGGGAAGAGGTGGTGACTAGGTAGTAAGGAGTCAGGAGACCTGGGAAGGCCTAAACAGGCTGCATGGGCTTGGAGGCTACCTCTCTGAGTCAGCAGAGCCTGGCCTGGCTCAGGGGTTACCAACACTGGCTGCACACCAGCATCACCGAGCACTTTCACCCATGAGTTTCAGGGTTCATGGGTCTAAAGAGGGCCTGAGGATTTCCACAGGGCTTTGTACCCTTGGCGAGGGCAGGATACTTCAGGAGGGGCAGCCCCACCAGCTTCTAGGACTGGGACCAGTGTAGGAGCCTAGGGGAACACACCCCAATAGGGCAGATTACAACACTCGGTACCCGTCAAGCGTTCTTTGTGCGGCTGGGAACAGGCCTTCCAGAGAGAATCGGAACATAAAGGGGTAGCCATATGGGTACTAGTAAGACTGATGGTTTCTGACCTTCATACTCGAGACTTTTTTTTTTTTTTGCTTTGGTTCTTTGTCCCAGCAATAGATCCCCTTCTCTGTTGTTTTGGAGGAAACAGATGTATAATTTTCCTTTTTTAATTTTCAAAGGCAAAGAAAGAAGGCTCCCAGTGGCCCAGCCAGCTTTCCTTGACCTTGGGCTGTTTTTGACCTTGGTTGAGGAGAATCACGGGGAAAGGGCATGTACTATGGAGCCCTGGAGAGCAAGTGCCTGCAGAGATGGGGTCTGCTCAGTATGGATCTGGCCTGCAGTGGGGATAGGGCTGCTGGTTTGTTCCCCTGGTTTTTGCACCCCTTGATGGGGCAGTGCTATTGACCAGGAGCATAGACCTGCTTTCCATGAGAGCCTGGCAGAGGAGAGGGTGCTGATTGTGGTCTTACTTTCTGTTTCAGTGACATCCCAGAGACTGTGCCTTTGTCCACTGTCAACAGACAGTGTTCGTCTGGGCTCCAGGCAGTGGCCAACATAGCTGGTAAGTTGTGACAGGGT